ACTCTCCTCATCATTACGGACTGTCGGGGCGTATCAGCCAGTAGGAGTGCGCACACTGTTTGAAGCCGTTCTCAGCCTTTTCGTTGAAACGCGTATGCGACAAAAAGTGGTAGAAAACGAGTAATACGAAGGATATAATGCTGTTATGTCATTTGATCGCTTCAACAACTGGTGCAGAAAGACTTTGGAACCGCGGAAAACGCAGCCGCACTGACCCGCCCCGACAGTCCGTAATGATGAGGAGATAATTTCAGCTAGTGTCATCCATTAGCGCCAACGACAAGAAATGAATGTCATATTCGTAATCAGGATGTTGAATTACCCCTATATACAAGTTTTTAGTGGATTTGGTGACTTGGGCAATTTGAAAATGAGCTCGAAGACGAAATTTCTGGAGTCCAAACGGCATTAGCCCGGAATTCGCAGACTCTGCGTTTCTTCCAATTCCGCACGACGGCAGGAACCAAGCGATCAATCCTCATTTTTTTCTTGTCCTTCATTCGCACTTTCTGCAAATTCGGGATTGCAGGAAGTTGCTGTTTTCAGATGATACGTATACATTTCTGTCTGCATTTTCGTCGTCTCCTGGTCAGCGTAATAGTCCAATGTATACGCGGACCTAAGGTAGAGGGGGGGGGAAGGAGGGTACAATTCTGGCTCTTTGACACTGGACTTTTTCTGCCTGTGGTGTTTCTCGTTTCACATGTGATGTATACCCCGCCTCCTCCCACAACGTTTTTTTTTGTAGACGTTTTATTTTGAGAAAAAACTGCAAAGAAGGGGGAAAACGTGGTGGGTCCTAAAGTTGGAAAAACGGTATTGCAAGGAGGATGAGGGAGGTCCCTATCCCAAAAAAGAAGAATTTCGGAGAGGTGGTCGTATTTTACGGAAATTTTCCCTAACGAGAGGATGTGCAAATGAAACGAGCACAGTGCTAAAGTGGAGAAATCAAAGAATGAAGAGTAATTACGAAGCAGAGCTGAGAATAAGGTTGTCAATCCAAGTACCTAGTAGGGTTGGTTGCCCACCATTCTGGCTACCCTCCTAAACCGAAAAGCGCCTAAATTGGATGAAATGTACGCGACTGATTTTTTCTTGTGCCTTATACAAAGACTTGCGGGCCAGCCGATGTACAAGTTAGTGTTTTCTATCCTCGCGTTCATACTGTGCGACTGAGGAGATTCGGCAATCTCGTAGACTTCGCGATATGAGAGGTCGCTCGACGAGAAAAAAAGTATCGCTCAGGCGACTAAGGAGATTGAGCGATCGGCGATCTGGGAAACACTGCGTTTCCGGCAATTGCGTGCCAACGCAGCGGATGGGGTGCTGGGTCATTGCTGGGGTTGATTCTGTATGTCTGTGTTCTTCTGTCTGTTTTTTGGGAGACCGCCTTGTCTCTCAAATCACCAGACTTCGAGATCTCCCAAGTCGCTAGATCGCCGGATCTCCCAAATCGACGGATCGCCGAATATCCGCAGCGGCTAGCGACCGGCGTCAGTCAATACCCATCCAGTGCTTTGGCGTGCAATCGCCGGATAACTCAATCTCGTCAGTCGCAAAACATGAATGCGGGCTTATGAATTTACAAGGGACAAACATTTTGTCATTATAATACCAGCTTTACAGGAGCTTACAGAACTCTATGAGATGATCTGGTATATGGACCGAGATTTGCAAAATGGATCATCAGCCAAATAGCGCTTGCCCATATTAGCACTTTTATCCCCGCCCTATCAATGATTTCGAATAAAATCATTGAAACTTGAGATTAATGAAACCCATGAAGGAGAAAAGTTGTGGTCCAAAGTGCTTTCTGATATAATGCCTCGAGACCAATGACTGGCTTAATAAGACCGCAAAGTGGAGCAAGTCTATCGTTGGGAATCTTGTGAACCAACGCTCTCAAACTACATATATCATGAAGACAGTCGCAAAGTAATATTAGTAGAGAATGTTGTAGCAGCGCGTTGACATCGTTGACAATTGGAGGGTGGGTGGTGCTCGCAAAGGTTGCGCGTAGAAGTCGTGTAAAATGAAAGCACAGCCCATGCAGTCGCGTCGGAGTAGGAAATCTATTGGGGTATTACATTGCATAGTGTCAATCCACATTTTTCCCAGGCGCTATTCTAGTGAGATCGAGCAAGTGGTAATATGAGACCAAAAACTACCAAAATGGCTGTAATTCAGAGATGATAAAGTTTTTTTCCGCCGAGCTCGATGAGTCTTTTTCGTGACGTAGTTTTAGACATCTTGAGTGCACTGCACCAAAGTCCGCTCTCCATCGGCATAGCGTTTTTTTAGCAGCACTGGTGCATGACGGCTTTGGAGAAGTGATGAAACTGCAGATATACAGAAGTAGATGTATCGATTTGAAGAACCGCGGGATTGGGAGAATATGTGGAGACTGCAAAAATGCCGAAATGACTGACGAGGACTTGCTAGGGACGATCGCATAGCGTCTTCCTGGGAGAGATGGTGGTTCTGCGAGTTTCGTCATTTCTGCAAATTCCGAATTTCTGCATTTCTTCGCGATTCAATGCCACGGTTCTTCGAGTCGATATGTGTTCTTTTGATCCGCAATTTCGTCAGCTTTTCAAAGCCCTAATGTATGAAGGATGCCTTTCTACTTTTGTTTCTTGAAAGTTCTGCGTCATTTTCGTGGACCCTAAGCAGAGTTTTGCCCAAGCCAATGGGAGAAAGTTCCGGGGTTTGAACCACTTCTGCTTCACAGCTTCACCTCATGGGAATGTCGCCGGAAAAGAAGTTTGACCTCACGCTTCAATGAAAACCGCCTCTTTGATGCCATGTGAAGCCAAGCTTTGCTATTAAAACAATGTGGCCTACTCTCTCCGAACGACTTATACATTGTTCATTGTTCCGTGTTTTCACGGCTTCTTCTTATGAGTGCCAATTTTCAGGTACCTTTCTAAATGGTCTTCTCTCTCGAAGTACGTTAAAATGAATCCTTCTGTAGCATTCTGTTGTCATCGTATATGCTGGTTGTCTACGCGGACGTCGACTTTCGCAGCTGCTTTACCCAGGAAAAATCGCGAGGAAATAATTTCGGTAAATTCTTGCATTCTTCTCAAAAGCCTACTGTGAGCCACCTGCCACACGGTCCGGGAGTCGCATCTCGTATCGCGCCCCCAAGCTGGCCAACCAAGCCTTCTAGCCTCCGAGACCGACGAATTGGTCTCAGACTCGTCGAGAAGATCAGAATAGTGAGTTGTACATCGGCGGGCCCCGCCGGTCATTTATAGGCCACATCGCATTTAGCATGCCAGTGCGATTCAAAGAAAATCAGATGCGTGTAGCATTCCGAAAAAGGCTGGTGAAAGGCGAAGGCTCTTCTATCATCTTTACAAAGTAACGAGTTATGATAATTTTCGTTGGGAAGCTGTACCTCCGGAATAGTTTTGTAGCTCACGGACTTCACGCTACGATCATTTCTCTGCTCATACTTTTGTCTTCGCCCTTTTCTGTTGGGTTGTGATTGTTACTGGACGAACCTCAGGGATCGCACCCATAGGTTCCATAGGAGGTTTGTGATGACGAATGGTGCCGTGCAATTAGAAGGGGGCATCTGTAAACTCCTGTGTCGAAAGTGACGTCCTTATCACTTTAGCGAAAGTGGAGAACCTCGAAGGAACTAGCGCAAGTGCAAAGTTCTTCTCCACATAAGCCGAACAGCGCGTGTATAATAATTCTAGTTCCATCAGTTTTGGCTCAGTAAGTTTCCACAATTTACCCTCTGCATGTACTGTCTTCTCTGGAGGGAGAGTATGCGCATTCGGAGAAGGCTTTGCAGGGTATAGATTAGGAGATCCCTCGTCGCGACGATGCGCACATTTACAGTCACGATCCCTGCAAACGATATGGCGTATGACGAGGGCATGGGTTGGAGCGCCGCTAGGGCAGATTTCCCCACCAACTGTAGTGGGTCATGGCAGCACTAATGGAAAAAGGCCGCCCTGAATGCGTTCCGCTATAATGCCCGTCGCACGCCCTATCGTTTGCAGGGATCATGACTGTATTTGTGTTTACGTAAACGCTGACTGGACAGTTTTCTTTTTTATAGTTTTTTGGTAAGTCAGTTAGGCCCTTTTGCCTCTACCGTGCACACGCCAATTGCATCGCGGTTCCGCCGCAATATGGATTTCACGCAATGTGGACACTCGTCGACACCATCGACTCACCGATTAGCTATGGACCGCGTTTGTCGTGATTACCTTTCATCCGTCTGAGCTGTTCAGTTGTCTTGTTTTGTATACTTCTTCTCTTCTCTTTTGTTCACATAGCTGTTTCACTGACCTGACCTTGTATCCAGGTAACAAAAGGGGCCCAACTCTAAGGCTGCGTTTATACTTTTATACTTTGCGGCAGCGTAGCGTAGCGCTTCCAGCGTACGCCAGCGGCAGTGCCGAAGAGAGGATGCATATCGATCTAGCTTCACCAGCGTCACCAGCGGCACGCTGGCGTACGCTAGCGGCACGCTAGCGTACGCCAGCGTTTCACCAGCGTTTTGCTAGCGCTTGCAGCGGCAGGGGAGTAGAGACTATGGGAGAGCTGGAGGGTACAAAACTCATCGATTGCGCGTCTCCCACTCGCCCTTAGTCTCTACAATGCACATCGCTTCTGCGTCTCCGACGGCCCCATAGTCTCTACGATGCACATTGCTTCTGCGTCTCCGACGCCACATAGTCTCTACAATGCACATCGCTTCTGCGTCTCCGACGGCCATATGGTCTCTACAATACACGTCGATTCCGCTTCTCTCACGGCCACATAGTCTCTACTCCCCTGCCGCTGCAAGCGCTAGCAAAACGCTGGTGAAACGCTGGAGAAACGCTGGTGACGCTGGTGAAGCTAGATCGATATGCATCCTCTCTTCGGCACTGCCGCTGGCGTACGCTGGAAGCGCTACGCTACGCTGCGCTACGCTACGCTACGCTGCCGCAAAGTATAAACGCAGCCTAAACAGCTTTTGATGGCCAGACTGTATGAAGGTGATAAACGCGCTATATCTCTAACCGCAAAGCTATAATTGTTGCCTAGCACTTGCCCATCCCGTTGCTTTGGTAAGGTACCAATGAAGTTCTGTATAATCCCCAAGACGGAATCATGCTTAAGAGGTTGTCGGAAGTTATTCAATTATGTTGCAATGTAGACCCTGATACAATGACATTTAGTTAGATCGACGGGAAGGAAAACAGAAACAAACAACTGGAAATGGAAATGGAAGAGGAAGCGGAGGAAAGGGAAACTATAAGAGATCGTTAGGGTCGTATTCCATGCTTGTAAGGTGTTTTTTTAATGTAGCAGATATTTCTTTGGTTGCACAGACTGTAACTTTCAAATGGTTGTTGTATACAGATTATTCCTGCAGTGACATTTGGGTTGGGATGTTGGCAGACTTACCGATTGAGATGGAAGTTGAACTTGATTGAAAAGTTGAAGGAACGTCTGAATGAGCCCGCCGTCGCTTTTCCGACTGAGGAGTAAGTTCAATGGGTGAACCTAACAAGTATTTACGTTGCAAGCATCCTTCGCTTGTTATTTTAGTGTTTCTCAGTTGCAAAGTATGGAATACAGAAGAGTTCGTGTAACCGGAGAGTTTCTTCATGACAGGGAGTTTTTCATTGCTCCTCGAGGCCGCTTTGATCCTGGTTCGCCTATTTTTGGTGTTTTCTCTTGGCTCTCATCGCCTGATCATTTAAATTCGTAGGTTACAAGGAGAAAAGCACTGGATCGCTGCTGTCTAACGACAATCTCTCTAGTCATGGTGCTCATATCATCACACCGTTCCGTCTTTCAAATTCAGAGTAAGTTTGTAGAAGCTACAGTGGCGTTCACGCAGAAACGCATGAGGAGTGAGGAGAGAAGTCTAGCTTTAGAATGGAGATTTCTTTGTAAAGCTGCAAATATTTGGCTCTCGGATGGCATCTCAAACCGCAATACAGGATTTTGAAAACCGTGTCCGTTGATCTGCCCACGATTTTATCCTTCATTTGATATCGTGCCGCTACAAACCGATGGAAGCTTCTCACCCCTGTCTATTTTTATCCATCAGTTAGTGTCAACAAGGGTTTGAAGCGTCCGCATCCAGTTCGGCGCTCCTTCCCATGGAGCCTGCTAAATAAACTCTGAGGAAAAGTGCTCCGTTGTGAGTCGGGTAAATATAACAAAATAACATAAATTCGCTGCTGTTGTGGTTCTAGTAGTGTGTGTTGCACAATACGATTACCGTTGGAGTCTGGTGACTGAAGTCTAGGCAAGCACCTGCTCCAAAGAGGCGAAAGGCCTTGGCCTGATGAGGATCCACTCTGGAATC